TACTTTAAATTTTTAATTTCAGATCTGATATTGTACAATACGCCAAGATTTTGAACTTGTTTAAAACGTTAAGCTTCTTTAGAACCCATCTTAATAATGTTTAACATATCACCACACTACTAAACCAAATATTTCATGAAAAAAAGGGATAGGTGGAAAAAACATATGGGCCAACCAAGGTTATACTTGAAATTAATTGCAGACCTGATATTGTACAATTCTTCAAATTGTTAAAATCCTTAAACCTTCTTAAAATGCATCTGAATTATTTTTTTACAACTTAGTTCCACACTACAAAACGATACATATCATCAAAGAGGGACAGATGTAAAAAATATAAGACTCATTGAAGGTCTTACCTAAAATTTGTAAATTCAGATCTGATATTGTGCAATGCTTTAAATTTTGAACTTGTTAGAATCCTAAAACCTCCTCAAAATTCATCTAAATTATATTGAACATCTTAGTTCCATACCATAAAACCATAAATATCATCAAAGAGGGACAGATGTAAAAAACAAAAGGGTCGTCCAAGGTCATACCAGAAATTCGAAAAATTCAAACCTGATATTATACAATTCTTCAAATTTTAGACTATTTAAAATCCTTAAAAACTCTTCAAAACCATCTAAATCATTTTTACCATCTTACAGGTAGTTCCACATTACAAAACTATACATATCATCAAAGAGTGACAGATGTAAACATATAAGGCTCATCCAAGGTCTTACCTGAAACTCGTAAATTCAGACCTGATATTGTACAATTCTTCAAATTTTGAACTTGTTAAAATCCTTAAACCTTCTTAAAATTCATCTAAATTATATTTTACATCTTAGTTCCACACTATAAAACCATGAATAGCATCAAAGAGGGAAAGATGTAAAAAACATAAGGGTCGTCCAAGGTCATACCTGAAATTCATAAATTCAGACCTGATATTGTACAATTCTTCAAATTTTGGACTCATTTAAAATCCTTTAACCTTCTTCAGATCCATTTAAATTATTTTTTACTTATTAGTTTCACACTACAAAACCATACATATCATCAAAGAGGGACATATGTAAAAAATATAAGGCTAATTCAAGGTCTTACCTGAAATTCGCAAATTCAGACCTGATATTGTACAATTTTTCAAATTTTGGACTTATTAAAACCTTTAAACCTTCTTAAAAACCATCTTAATTATTTTGTACGTCTAAGTTCCACACCAAAAAACTATAAATATCATCAAAGTGGAACAGATGTAAAAAATCTAAGGCTCACCCAAGGTCTTACCTAAAATTCGTAAATTCAGACCTGATATTGTACAATTCTTCGAATTTTGAACTTGTTTAAAACTTTAAACTTCCTTAAAACCCATTTTAATTATCTTTCACATCTCAGTTCAATACTTCAAAACCATATTTATAATCAAAGAGGGACAGATATAAAAAACATAAGGGTCATCCAAGGTCATACCTTAAATTTGTAAATTCAGACCTGATATTGTACGATTCTTCAAATTTTGAACTCATTTAAATCCTTAAACCTTCTTCAAATCCATCTAAGTTATTTTCTACATATTAGTTTCACACTACAAAACCATACATACACTGGTGATCCACTCGATTACGCTGGTTACCAAAACGAACCGTTTTGGTAACAAAATGTCGGAACATCCGGAAGGTACGATTTTTCTCGTTTCCTTATTTTACACGTTGTAGGCAGAATTCCCACGACATTTTTTAACACAAACGTGTATCAGTATCATATGTTTAAGAAAGTGTACATATTTGCGAACAAATAGTTCAGAAAACTACAGAATCGTCGATTTACTTCCTCACTTAAGTTACATAAACGGTTTGGGTTAAAAGTGCAGATCTTAACTGTTTTTCGAAAAACCGTTTATGTAACTTAAGTGAGGAAGTAAATCGACGATTATGTTGTCCTCTGAGCTATTTTATCGCAAACATGTACATTTTCTAAAACATATGATACTGATGCACGTTGTGAGAAAAAACGTCGTGAGGATTCTGCGTACAACGCGCGAAATAAGGAAAAAAGAAAAATCGTGCCTTCGACGTTCCGACATTTTGTTACCAAAACGGTTCGTTTTGGTAACCAGCGTAATCGAGTGGATCACCAGTGACATACCAACAAAGAGAGACAGATGTAAAAATTATAAGTCTCATCCAAGGTCATACCTGAACTTCGTAAATTCAGACCTGATATTGTACAATTCTTCAAATTTTGGACTTATTTTAAAACTTTAAACTTCCTTAAAACCCTTTTAATTATGTTTTACATCTTAGTTCTACACTTCAAAACCATATTTAACATCAAAGAGGGATGGATCTAGAAACTATAGGCATCAGCTATAGTCATACACAAAATCACCCCTCTCAAAAATGTCAAAAAATCAATAATTTTTTTCTCGGCTCCTACTGATTCAATGAGTTTGAACCTTTTGGGCCTTATAGCCCTGCTACTGGTCACTTGACATGAACTTTTCCAATGTCTTCCAGTGTCTGATTGAAAAGTGAGGCTCTAAAAAGTAAGAAAATGGGTCCCGAATTTGCCCCCTGGGGTACATACTTTGTACTATTATTCAAATTCTGTAGGAGTGATTGGCATTATTTATTATGCAAATGATTCATATATATAATGTCTATGTATGTAACTTACAAACATCAAGATATCTAAAGTAATCGAGAATGAAAAAATATTTTTCCCTGGGTGGGGTGTTTTTGGGGGTGGGGGGCTAACCCCTGAAAAAAAAGAATTATGTACCACTCTGTGACGCTATCACCTAGGTAGAATTTTCATCCAAGACTTCCTTCTAACTGAAAATGCTGCCAAACCAACTATACTCCATTTATTAAGAATTTTCCTCCTCGCTCTTAGAGTACTTATTTATCTATGGTATAACAAATTATTATCATTGTAGTATTTGCAATCACTTATAATTATGTGATTTGAAACATATTCTTTTTGAATGTTGTTTGTCAAAGGATATATGGAAATTTATATACAACACATGTGGTCTCAATATTCCGTATAGAAAAATAATAATTGGTTATAATGGCCAAGACTCTCAAACTAATTTTCTGGATTATTTTACAAGTATAGTTGCTTACAGCATTTACAAATCCTACATTTTAGAACTGAATAGTAAAGAACAAAGAACATTTGAAAAGATACTTTTTATGTTAAAATATGAAATTAATTGTAGAAAAAATGTGTATTATTGTTCCAAATGGAATTTATTATCCAAACTACTGCAATGAGATTATGTAAACCTGTTTTTATAAATCATGTACTGTCTATTTAGTAAATGAATGAAATTAAGACTATTTTAAAAGAAAAAAAAGAACATTCTTACATCCTAAGCTCATGGCATTGGGGTTTCTGAAAATGAATACTCTGAACAGTGAACGAACAAATGCTTTAACATATTAAGTATTATTTTATTCTGCTAATATTTTGTTTAACGATCAATGAGATCATATGTCATGCTACACTCCCCTCCAAAAGTTTGGTAACTTGTAGAATCGCATGTCAAGACCTGTTCCTGTTATTCAATCCTTAATATATAGCATTCTCTGAAATATTTTACATACTTTGAATGAACATTTGAAGAATTCACTTAAGGCGAAGCTAAATTAAACAAAAGTACAAAAAATGACTGCCATTTTTTTTGATGAAGACACATGTTTTTAAAATCTGTTTACCATGTATATGAATCGTATATATTGACTTAAGAAACATCTCAAGGTTAACATCACACATAAACGCACATTTCAAAACTATGAATTGGGGGTACATGGATCCCCAAAGCTAGCATGAAGAGTGTGAAGTGAGGCTACTTTTTGAAAGTTTCAAGGAGTAGCCTTGCAACAGTCACATATTTGCAAGAGTCCAAATTTTCCACAAATCATCTTACCTTTCCCAGGAACAACGAAGGAGCATGAAAATGTGCACTTCTTGCATTGTTAGAGTATAATAAAGCTCAAACCATTGTGATTCTAATTATTTCATGTCCACCATTTTGTTTGCCGGAACTGCTTCTAGACTTCCTGATTAATCCTCATAAAAGTTTTGTGACTACACCAAGTGGCATGGATTACCGCAAGTATATTTTATCTATAACAGTATAATTATCATGATATTTACGATAGAGGCTTTATGAATGATAAACAATGGATACATGAATGAGGGTAACTCTGGAATAGAAAATAGTTCCAGCAAACAAGATGGTGGACATGAAATATTTAGAACTCATAATGGTTTGAGCTTTATTATACTCTTATAATGCAAGAAGTGCACATTTTCATGCTCCTTCGTTGTTCCTTGGTACGGTAAGATGATATGTGGAAATTTTGGATTCTTGAAAGTGTGTGACTGTTGCAAGGCTACTCCTTGAAACTTTCAAAAATAGCCTCACTTCACACTCTTCATGCTAGCTTTGGGGATCCATGTACCTCCAATTCATAGTTATGAAAAATGCGTTTAAATGTGAAGTTTTCTTTTATGTGTCCCTTTTGTCAGGAAATGCATTCACATACAAGGAAAACAGTATACAAAATCTTCTGACATTATCAAAAAATATGGCTGCCATGTTTTTGTACTTTTGATTAACTTAAATGTCACCTTAATCTCAAAATCTAAGAAAGCGCATGAGATGAATCATACCAAGTTATTGTAGCAGCAAGCCAAATTAGAAACTACCAATCATTGGGAACATTTTCAGTAAAGCTAAGTTCACACTAATGGCGCGTTGATGGCGCTTTAAAGCGGCGTGCAAAGCCGCTTTTAAAGCGCCATCAAAGCGCCGTTGATGTGAACTTAGCTTAAGCTACGTTCACACCAACGGCGAATGCCACGCTTTAAATCGGCGAGCAAAGTGGCACCAAAGCATGGCGCTTTAAAGCGACTTGTAAAGCGGCACCAAAGCGTAACAAAGCTTGATTAAAAGCGTCGGGGTCGAAATAGGTCGTAGAAAAGCTCGGAGTAAAGTGGGGTGTTCGGCAAGAGCGCCAAACGGCTTTGCACGCCGCTTTAAAGCGCCATCAACGCGCCGTTGGTGTGAACGTAGCTTTAAGCTCGATCATTTGTCGCCATTATAGATATTATTTCAAGAGACGGGATGAAATATTGTAATGATTCAAGGACGACGATTAAAGGAATTTTCTTGTATCTCAGCCTTGATTCTCGGTCTACCGACATCGATTTAGACTGCATACAGGAACCTTGTGTACTAAAAAGCTATTGGTTGAAATCATCCAGTGATAATCATAATAGTTCACAATCAGTCAGCGAAGTTAACTTCACAATTTGGCGATCCCCATGCTACCTTATTGAGGTACCCACATCGAATATAATGGCCATCAATGGCAGTCGAGGGTATTGTTCCCCCGACACTGCCAGTGCACGAACTGTCTGGGGTCCCCGTAACTTCCAAGTGAGCTGTATGAGGGGCAGGGCCGATGGCTTTCACTCCTTTGAAGTATATCCAACCGTTCTCAGATTGGGAACAATCCATAGTTCCATCGAACATCCAATAATCGGGTCCCCACCTGGAAACAATAGGTTAACTTTTCAATAAGCCACAGTATTATTATAAAACGAGTGCAAAAAGGGAAATATTATACAAGATAAATTTGTAAATGCTGCAATATAGTCACGTTTAGTCAGGTGAGTTTTGTAAAGCTACGTTCACACCAACGGCGCCTTGATGGCGCTTTAATGCGGCGTGCGAAGAAGCGGCTTTGCACGTCGCATTAAAGCGCCATCAAAGCGCTGTTGGTGTGAACGTAGCTAAAGCTATGTTCACACCAACGGCGAATGCCACGCTTTAAATCGGCGAGCAAAGCGGCACCAAAGCATGGCGCTTTAAAGCGACTTGTAAAGCGGCACCAAAGCGTAACAAAGCTTGATTAAAGCGTCGGGGTCGTAATAGGTCCTAGAAAAGCTCGGAGTAAAGCGGGTTGTTCGGCAAGAGCGCCAATATTTTTTAAACTGTTTAAAAATATTGGGTGCTCCGTTACGAATTGATTAAAGCGCCGAGAGCGTATCAAAGCTTAACAAACCGTAACAAAGCTCAGCAAAGCTTGACCCAAAGCGTAGGAAAGCTTAACAGAGCTTGGTTCAAAGCGGGGACCCCAGTCTCTTCACGGTTTGTTACCACTTGACACGCTTCGTTTAGATGTCTCAAGCTTTGCTACGATCTGGCATGAAGATCTGACACGAGGTCAGACGCTTTCATCAATATCTGACACTCTTTGTTACGCTTTCATGAAGGACTCTCAAGCTTTTAACGAATTGAGACGCTTTAATCAAGGATTGAAACGCTTTGTTACGCTTGACAAGCTCTTTCACGCTCTTTCACGCCTCGCGACAAACATCATGTCTTTTTCAGATAGGTCATGATCTGGTCCATCTGGCATTTGTGGATCTTGTTGTTCTGCCATCGTCTTTTCGAGTCAAAGATGCAATGGTTTTATGGATCTACTGCATCTTTATACAGCCATTTGATCAAAAGCGTCACGATAAAGGCGATCTCGAAAATGCACAACAGAGCTTGGCAATCGTATCAGAGCCTGATTAAAGCGTCATAATCGCATCAAAGCGTAATAATGCTTATCAAAGCGTGATTTTAAGCGTAACAAAGCCTGGTCGAAGCGGGATCATAGCGTGAGGAACCGAAACAAGTCGGGAAATCAAAGCGTATCAGAGCTTATCAGAGCGTAACATTACTTAGGAGATCGTGATATTTTTGGAAAAGTAAACAAAAATGGCGGCGCTTTACTCGCCGATTTAAAGCGTGGCATTCGCCGTTGGTGTGAACGTAGCTTTAAAAATGTTTGGCGCTTTTGCCGAATATCCCGCTTTACTCCGAGCTTTTCTACGACCTATTAGGACTCCGACATTTAATCAAGCTTTGTTACGCTTTAGTGCCGCTTTACAAGCCGGTTTGGACGTAGCTTTAAGGAGTCATTGGCAGGATTAGTTTCTGATTCAATTAAATTGGAAGAAGCTGCCGCAATCTATACATCTTGGCAATCTGATACTGTCTGGTCTATTTCGAAATTACAAATGATATGTTAGTTGAAGATATCTTCCTGATAAACATGTGATTTTGATCATTTTATGTCTCAAAACTTAAAATTCCAATAGATCTAGTGCTATTTCGCTGGAGACTTCAACTAGAAAACAGCAATTCCACCAGTACGGAGTAGCAAATCCCAACGAACTGAACAAGGTTTGAGAAATAGCGGCCATTTTGAAAATGTCTTTTTGAACAGCGCTCATTTGTCCCAAGGTATCAGCATATTACAATCTGAACCAAATCCAGTATTTGAGTTACCAAAGATAACTTTTTGGAAAAACTACGCTCGCCTTGCAGTCTCTGTACGGCGTATCCAGTTTTTTAAAAACCGCAGGGTAGCTGTAGAAATTATAACTCGGAATTATAACACCCCAGTCACATTTCCTACGGCGACCGTGCGGTCTATCATTTCTGCGGTCAGTAACATTTCTACGCTCGCCGTGGAATTTCTGCGGTCGGATGCTTTTGAGTCACATTTCCTATGGCAGCCGCATGGCGAGTTTTTGAATTTCTGTTGATTTAACGTTAATTCTTTTTTTATTCTATCTTTATCAGTACAATTTATGAATGTTGTGCGTTGTGTTATACTTTTGCAGTCACATTTCTGCGGTCCTCGTAGAAATCAACAGGCCGTTGCAAGAACGCAGAAAAGGAAATGTGACTGCAAAAGTATCCGACCGCAGAAATTCGCACGGTCGCCGTAGGAAATGTGACTGGGGTGTTAGTAAAAATTTATATGTATGGAATTTGTGGTAAAAAATCGATGCGTACATTTTTCAAGTCTCAAAAATTAGTTTTTATTTTAATATTATTTCTAAAATCAGCAAACCGATTATCGTTTTGTAAATTTCGCCAGGACAATATTGTGCAGTTAATTTTTTTTCAAATCAGGCCTAAATTAGAAGGTCAAATAAAGGTAAACTTATTGCTTGTCCCTTTCGTCTTCAAAACCTTACACAATTTTGAAAATTTTAAAAGAGTCCGTTTGAGAAAATTCGAACAGTAGCCGTTATGCAGTTGTGACGTCAAAATGCACATGTTCCAAAGAATAAAATGTGAAACTTTAGTGGGATTCTGATTATCATTTCAAAAGTTATCTCAATTTCAACGAACCTTGCAAGGGTAAAATGTTACGTCTTACAGCGTATTTGACGATGTCGGGGTGTATTTAACTTAAAAATATGGTAGATCATATAAATGTTTTCAAGAAAAAATAATTTCACTGAAATGCGAATAAAAATATATTTTAAAAGATATATGAAACACATAGATAGCTTTTTCAATAATGCAAATATTAACGCTTTAAGCTCGGACATGAGCCCGTATTTCCCGAACTGTCCCCGTGTCCGTGTACGTTATAATTATGTTTTTCTGCGCCCATTGTAAAGCCTTTTAATCATAATTTCATGGGCGTAACCGAATTCTACTCTATGGTGTAATAGATAATGTCTGCCCATGGGTATCACCCTTAAGGACCCTGTGTATTGAAATATTTTCGAACGTCCACGGTGTGTTTTCTCCTTGTTTTCAATGCCCTTATTTCAAAACAGAAAAATAGTTAAAAGCAACTTACTGATTATTAAAGTTATAATAGATATCGGTGTAATCGTTGGACGTGAGAGCTAGAGGTGTCCCCTCTGACGGTTCAGATCCGAAGAATCCCTGACTGTCTTCGCGGCCGAAATGATCCAAGTAATTGTCCTGGTCTCTCCAGGCATTGTAGTTGTCCCATTGACTTCCCGTACCAGGTGATATGTGTGTGATAGAAATAGAGCAAGGGTCATCAGTAGCACAATTGGATGAACACGATGAGGTTGAACAATCTGAAGAGAGAATAATTTCTTTTTATAAAGTTATTGTTCTGCTGCAGTCACTGTTCGTAATTGGCCAATTAATTGAACATGCGTATCACACAACATTTCACTCTCATAACACTTTCATACATTCCCAAAATATATACGTTTTTTTATTCTGCTTGTCCCTTGCAAGTTCAATCTATTGGTTTATTCCGGTGTAACAGGAGCAAAGAATGTGTTCGTCATAGGATAAGTTGTCCAAGTCGGACTATGATATTCATGAAAATTAATACGGACGTATAACGAGCACTATTTATGAAAATAACCCAAGGTTAATGATATAAATATAACAATCAGGTAAAAACGTGCTTGTTCATTCTCTGAAAACAACCCAAAGTATGACATTTTCAGGTAAAGACAAGCAGCGCTTGTTCATTTTCTGAAAACAACACTCTTAAAAATGAATTACTTGAGTATTTCTCAAGTATTTCCAAGTATAAAAATTACTTAAAGTTAAATACTTAGTTTTACTTCATTTTACTTAGGTTTAACAATTATATTCTCATTTTGAGTTTTTTAATTGCTTAATTATGTAAATGAGTATTACAATTACTACAGTAAGTATTTCAATTTCTCTCCTTGCATTACACAGTAGTCTCTACTACTGCAGATAGGCTGGCTTTAGCTGTCAAATGATAAGGCCTGGATTTACCAGAATAATTAATAGCTTTAGCCTGTTGCCTAGTAATATGCTAGGCAACCTCTATAAACAAACCAGTGCAGCCTGTCTTCCGGTTTAAATCCCCAAACCTTTAGTCTTATTCTCTTGGTTCTTGTGTACTTGAAATGTGAAACAGGTGCTAGGCAATTAATCATTGATGTAAACTACACTTTGTCTTAGAATATTCTTGAACTTTAGTCAACTAGCATGCTTAACTTTGTTGTCATAGTAAGCAATGTAAGGAGAAGGTCGGATTGACATTTTCCAAATATTTGTGTGAATTGATATCTACTTTTAAGATATTTTGGCATTACAGAATTTTCTCAACTAACTTTATTTACAAAGAGGAATATTTTATGAACTCACCCTATGTATCTGGATAAGGATCAACGCAATATTTACCAAGGATAACTTGAGTTTCTAAGTGGGATAAAACAGAATCAAAATTTCAATATGGCTACAGACATATCTTATCATAGACTCTGCCTCAGCAATATATGCAGGATTTGTGGCAAAAGAGCTCAAAAATCTAAGGTAAGGAAGCCAGCAAAACTTTGTAATAATTACAAGAGTGAGTTACTTGAACTATTTCTGCTTAATATTGACAATGATAGAGATGATATTCACCCAAAGAAAATGTGTGATCTGTGCTATAAATCAATGAAAAGCCGACCGCTTATTAAAAATCCAAAACCAGTGAATATATATTCATTCAGCGAACATTCAGACATAGAATGTCAGATTTGTAAAATGTATAATGAACAAAAAAAGCAATGTGGAAATCCAAAACTGTTGAAAAAAAGTAAACAGCAAGCATTAAGAAACCAAACCAAATCTCCAATATCTGGCCCATCAGAATCATCAATAGAACTATCCCCAATACCTGGCACATCTGAATCCTCAATAAACTTGTCCCCGATACCTGGCACATCAAGTAATCTATCAAAATTGACAGCAGATATTGCAACATCACCAATTATATTCTGTAGCACTCCCAAAACAAAGCAAGCTACAAAGTCTTTACTTGAAACTCAAGCCAGATCACCATCATCACCACTTAATGAGTCAGAAATTAAAACAAATGATATGCTAACTGTGAGGAGACTCAACTTTTTTAAAAAGACTAAACAAGATGCTCAGATCACTGTTAAAACAAAAGGTCAACCCATCCTTTTGAAAGAAGTGACCCGTCCTCGGAAAATCAATAACCCGTCCGCAAACACTCTTAAACAACGCATTCGTAAAGTGAAACAAATGAAGCAGATTTATTCTGGAGGTCAAATTCAATCATTCCAGGCCGCTGAGATTGATGCAATGGATACACGTACAAGAAATCGTGTCACAAAGAAACTTAAGCACAATAAGTATATTTCAAAGAAAGTCGGTATTTTAATAAAATCCGCACTTGGATTATCGTGGAACAAAACGCGAGTTTTAAGGAGGGTTTTGAAAATTGAAGGAGTTAGTATGGAGGGTGAGAGTAAAGTGAGAATGATGAGATCCGATATGATCAGTGATTTTTTACAGTGTAGTATGATAAAAAATGCCAAAGTACGAGATGAAAAGTCTGCATCTGGCATCAATGGGTTTAAAACCATTGATGCTGCAATTGTTCATGTTGAAAATCTATGTACCATGGTACCAGCACTCCTTGACTCATATGACCAGGCAGGAGTTCTTCAGTGGAAAGAAGGTATGGACGAAGATGTGGTCATGGTGAAAATAGGGGGCGATCATGGTCAGGGCTCATTCAAATTCTGCATTCAAGTGTGCAATGCTCAGAATCCAAATTCAAAATACAACACAAGAGTTTTTGCCTATACCAAAATCAAAGATACCTATTCTAATTTACAATCGATTGCCTCAATGTATGAAGACCAAATTTCAAGTCTTAAACAGCTTAAATGGAAAGGAAAACGAATTGAACTTACCATGATGGGAGATTATGCATTTCTAGCGACGATGTATGGCATTTCTGGGGCACGGGGGACACATTTTTGCCTCTGGTGCAATATAAAGCAAAGTGATCTTGCTCATTCATGGGGAGACATCGAACGAAATATCCCATTACGTACTCTTTCAACTTTGAAACGAGATTGCAGACGGTTTAAAAAATATGGCCATGGGGTCATTAGTAAAGCGTCTATGTACAATAATGTGATAAATAATGCACTCTGGGCAATACCAGTAGAAGATGTATGCCCTCCATATTTGCATATCTTACTTGGAATTTCAAAACGTCACCATGACATGCTCGAAGAGGAGTACCATGAGATCGATAAACAGATAGCACAAAACATAGCAAATTCAAATGCGAAACTAGATGAAACGAAATTCCATACTCATGTGAAAGCATTGAGGAAATACAAAATTGATTTGGCAAAATTAGGGAGTTTAGAACATGACCTGACTGATGAAACTCTTTCAAATCCTGTCAGAGTCAAAATTGAGCAAGAAATCAAATCTATCAAAGCTAAACTGAATAAGCCAGAGTTGAAAATGGGGACCGGGCCTTGTACAGAGCACATAGAAAAAGTGTTAGGCCGACACAATATAGTCAAACAAGCATATCATAGTCGATCATTCATTGGTAATCATGCACACAAATACTTCCAACCTCGTGTGAGGAATGACATATTTATCAGTTTCACTGAAATTGTGGCACAAATGTCTGACAGCACTAAGCTTGATCGCTATGCAAAATCTATTACAGAAAAATACCAAGAACTGAATAGACTTTTCTATAACATACACTGTCTCGTTTCAAAATCAAATTATATCTCTCCAAAGGAAATTGATACTATTCAGGAGCACATAGACCTATATATGACATATTACCGCAATCATTTTGGTAACAGAGTATTGCCCAAACATCACTTTCTGGAGGCACACCTTTGCCAATGGATTACCAGGAAACATTTTGCTATGGCCCTTCATGGGGAGCAGGGATGTGAGGGCATCCATAGGGAAATTAAAAGGATTGAGCAAAATACAGCACACATGAAAAATGAAAGGAAACAACTCATGATGACAATGAGAGAACATTTAGCCTGTACAGCCCCAGAATTGAGAATGAATGATTTGAAAGCGACAAAGCGACGGAAAAAATGTCAAAAAGTTATGTAAACTTAACGAACCAGCACAGGAGTTAGCATGGGCCTACTCCAGAATATAATTATGTAAGCACAAAAGATAGTGACAGTACCAAAGATATTGAAAAGATTCCGTTTCTAGGAATATAAGATTAAAGATACAAAATAAAGTTATTTAAAACCCTTTTAGCCTGCACAGACCCTGAATTGAGAATAAATAATTGAAAGCCAACAAAGAGGCAGAAAATGTTAAATATAGATGTAATCCAAATCATTGGATAACAAATTCAAGGAGTAACGCATGGGCCTACTCCGGAATTAAATAAAAAATGTACAAATAATGATGCAAATACTATTTTTAAACACTGCCATTAAAAAATAACATTAACTGGAATGTCAACCAGTATGCATAAAGAAACACCTAGAAGCAACCACAGAAAATTAAGGAATTCAACATTTGGCACATTGTCTAGGTAAGTAGAAATGGTTTATTAATAAAATAATTATACTTCACAATATGCATGCAATTTTTTTTAATATATACCATTGTAGGATCATATGTTCTGTGTAGCCATACAGTTACATGTATCATAGTAGAACATAGCAGATATGCATGTTAGGCCAAATATTGGCATTAATCCATCAGTTAAGTGATGTTTTCTAAAGCGCTATGTATCTATTAAATCAATCTTGATCCTTATCTAATAAATATATTCTGAATGAATAGTGTCTAAGCTATAACCTCATGTAAATTATAAAAAAATCTGTAATGCCAAACATTATTAAAAGTTAGTTTGAAAATGAGCAAAGTAACAAAAAGATTCAAATTTAAGACTAGCATAGCCTTGTAAAAATGTAAAAATATAGACCTTTCTTGATTATTAAAGTTTATAATTTTTTGATAATCATTTAGTTTTTTGATTAAATGATAAGTTTATGCAAATTTACATGTGAAATAAGGAAGTTATCATATCAAAAATAGACAAAATAGCATTGATGGTCAATTAGAATGTACATATTCCCGCTAGAAATAAACTGTTGCTTGTTATCTTGTAAACATAGCTTAATGCTGTAGCAGAAGGGGTAATTAATCAACAGAATTCTGTGGCTCTGACACCTAAGTTCAACAGTACAGCACTACTGTGATTAGTAAATTCACCATAAATGAATTACTTAAAAATTATTTTAAAATTATTCAGTAGTTCAAGATTATTTAAGTAATTTTTGACTTAAAATGAGTAGTACAATTTCTCAATATAAGGAAATCCAAGTAATAATTTTTAAGAGTGAACCTAAAGTATGGCATAATCAGGTAAAAACATGCTTGTTCATTCTCTGAAAACAACCCAAAGTATGACATTATCAGGTAAAAACATGCTTGTTCATTTGAATCAACCCAAAGTATGACATTATCAGGTAAAACATACATGCTTGTTCATTTGAATCAACCCAATGTATGACATTATCAGGTAAAAACATGCTTGTTCATTTGAATCAACCCAAAGTATGACATTATCAGGTAAAACATACATGCTTGTTCATTTGAATCAACCCAAAGTATGACATTATCAGGTAAAACATACATGCTTGTTCATTTGAATCAACCCAATGTATGACATTATCAGGTAAAACATACATGCTTGTTCATTTGAATCAACCCAAAGTATGACATTATCAGGTAAAACATACATGCTTGTTCATTTGAATCAACCCAAAGTATGACATTATCAGGTAAAACATACATGCTTGTTCATTTGAATCAACCCAATGTATGACATTATCATGTAAAACATACATGCTTGTTCATTTGTATCAACCGAAAGTATGACATTATCAGGTAAAAACATGCTTGTTCATTTGAATCAACCCAAGGTATGGCACAATCAGGTAAAACATACATGCTTGTTCATTCTCTGAAAACAGCCCATGGTATGACATTATCAGTAAAAACATGCTTGTTCATTTGAAAACAACCCAAGGTGCGAAATTATCAGATAAATTATACTTGTTCATTCTCTGAAAGCAGCCCAAAGTATGACATAATCAGGAAACATGCTTGTTCATTCTGTGAAAACAACAGATAAAAACATGCTTTCATGGACCTACGTATCTGAAATCACCCTGGAATACAAGTACGCCTCGGACTTCTAATTCTAGGTATCGGACATATGGAACTCAGGAAAACAAATGACTTATTTTCCTAAACAAAGGGGTCGAGCTAAAAGTCATATGTTCAAAAAAATTAAATCAAAGTTGATAAACCTTTTTTGAAACCACAGTTATATGTAATTTTACACGTAAATATTGAATTTGAGTGAATTTCGAGGATGTAATGACGTAAACCAAGATTATTTCTACTTGCATCTTGTACAATAAACTAAATAATAAATATGGCGACATACCTGTGTATATCTGAGTCCTGCCACCTCGTATGAAAACGTCCATACCTTGTTCCATTGGGACATAAAACAAGATGACTGTAGGTTGCATATTCGGAGCTGCTTGAGCGGGTGGTGGCAACAAAGATATTGTGGTCGCTATCTCACCAACTGTAGTTGGGCAGAGCGCTGAAGTTAAACCTTCCGTTGTGATGCTATCTGTAGTAAGACCATCTGTTGTGATGCTATCTGTAGTAAGACCTTCCGTTGTGATGCTATCTGTAGTAAGACCATCTGTTGTGATGCTATCTGTAGTTGGACTGACCGTAGACGGGATGGCCTCAGCCACACAAGAAACGCTATAGAACACAAAATCATCCATGGCTATCAGCTCCGATGATGATGGTTCTCCTATCGATTTCAATTCACAGGTTTTAGAAGATCTGGCATAATTGAACCCCTTACATAAGGGCTCCAAAGTACACGCTTGCAGACACCCAACTCGTGAAGTTATGATGGTTGATAGATGGTATAGACCACCTACAAGACGTAACCAATCCAGTTTTCGGGCTGACAGTTTCCTAGCTCCATTATTTTGTTCGAAGCATTCGTCTAAAAAGAAAGAAAATAGATGTTCATGTAAAAACTGCTTGGTATCATTACAACAAATATTCTCATTCTTAATACTCAAGTCCAGGTATTCCCTTTTCATTTTCTTTAATAAAATGTTATTGAAAATTCTCACCTGGTGTGGCTGTTATCAGGTAAAATCCTAGGATAATTAGTAGAAATGAAGTATACTCCGTCATTTTGAAAATATGAATTCCACATATGAGTTGAACTCCAGACCAACACTTCGACCATCTTCAATATTGGTGTTCAATTAATGTACGTCAGACAAAATGATCATGAGATGGGAGATCGAAAGTGAATGATATAATGGTTTGTTTTTCAATGGGAATCAATGCCAAGTGGAGTGGCGACCTTATTTGTTTTTCATGGTCAACGTCGTCATTCTATTTTTTACTTACACTCCTCAATAAAAACAATCTTAACAATGTGTAATTTCCTGGTCTTCTAACATCGGCAAAGACTGCATACAAGAATCTTGTGTATTAATTAGTTATGGGGTTAACAACCATTTAGAAATTATGAATCGTTTTGTGAACCGTTAGTCAATGAAGTTCACTTCACAATTTGGCGATCCCCATGCTACCTTATTGAGGTATCCAGTATCCACATCGAATATAATGGCCATCAGTGGCAGTAAAGGGTATTGTTCCCCCGACACTGCCAGTGCAGTTAGTGTCTGGGGTCCCCGTAACTTCCAAGTGAGTTGTATGAGGGGCAGGGCCGATCGTTTTCACTCCTTTGAAGTATATCCAACCGTCTTCAGATTGGGAACAATTCATTTGTCCAAAGAACATCCAATAATCGGGTCCCCACCTGAAAATAACAGTTTAACTTTTCTTCAAGCCAATGTATTCTTGTCAAACGAGAATAAGAAAAACAAAATCGTGCTGTACTATCTAATCTCTTTCAAACTTACAAATGACAGGTTATTTGAAGATATTTTTCCAATAAACATATTGACTTCAAAATTGAAATAGTTTTTAACAAACGTTTAGCCTAAAAATTTTCATTGTCCCATAAATTACTTTGATGATGGAATTTCTAATTCGATAAGATTTTTTCTCAATCAAAACCTACTTATAAGTTAGCGAATATAGTTTCGTTTAGGGATATATACTAGGTTTGGAATTTGGTTTCTAAAAGAAGCCACAATTCGTATATACAGAATGGTCCACTTTAAATGTTTTCTACAAAAACACACCAGAATCTTCATGAACATAGTCCATCCTAATGTATATGGCTGTTAAGGCATAGTTCATCCCAATGTTCATTGGCTGTAAAGTTCATAAATGCAGCCTACCTTGGTAATGGGTTTAACAACACCACGTTTGATATGACCCCTACCCTCCTGAATTACATGTTCAAGCCCGTACTTGGTTTTGAAATAATGTGTTCAATATGTATATGTTGGTTTTCTCCAAGCTATCTTTATAGAAAACTTTGACTTGGTCTTGAAAGGTCAACTCTGGTAACGTAATTAATATTTTGTATCGAAACTGTTCATGAATGGTATCAAACATAATTTGATGTTTGTTGTTGTGTGTTTTACTGACATAATATTCTTCTCTAGAAAGAGGGCAGTCTATTTAAACTCGTAAATGAAGCCCTTCCTCTCCTATGTTGTGGCAACATGTACATGTAGTAATAATCAAAGTTTTGTTTTTAGAGAACTTTGTTTTCCAGAACACCAAAGCTATTCTAGTTGCTTAGAGTTAATCTTGAAAGCAGGTATGTAAGTTTTGCCATTATTGAAAAGTGGAAACAATGATTTTGTCACTTGAATAGCTGTGTGGGTTATGCAATCGCTCAGCTCTAACGTTCCTTAATTTTTGTATATCATTTTGGATACTAGTATTCTTTGATTTAGCATTTACACAATAGTTTTCAACTAAACAATAAAGGCAAGGAGGATTGGTTCCCAGAGTGCAAATTTCATTCATGTAGACGGAATATAATATAGTCATTTACGAATAAAGATAGTAAGTTATTTTAGTAGTTTATATCTTTTTCTGTTGGATCATTGGTGATCAGAGTGTGTCATAACCAACCATTTACCTGAACTAATCTACTTTGTCCACAATTGATTCTGTCCACATTTGGGTTTGTACACAGTTGTAATTTGTCAACTTTATATTTCCTAACGCCTGAATGGAAGATACAACCTTACCTTGAAGACACAGCTCCTCAATAACCAGTGATGTATAACCTGATATAGCAATTATAATATCTGTCCCTCCCAAATCTGATTTTCACTCATACTAGGGGAAGTGCTGCCCAAAGTTTTCTTAAGTTTGGACTTAGAATATTTTCCCCTCCCCAATCTGATTTTCACTCATACTAGGGGAAGTGCTGTCCAAATTTTTCGTAAGGTTGAATTTAGATTATTTACACAATTTCATATCCATGCTGGCCTAATATAACTCAAGACATATATTTTCCTGTTTGTCAACAATTGTACAATTACACTTTGTCCACAATATCGCAAATGCGAGTAGGTAGGTAGATAGCATGGCGGGTATAGTAGAAAGTTCCCTTTAACTTAAATTACATAGGTTTTAGTGGTTCAATTTTCATATAGCCCTTATGTATCGAATAATTATGCAAATTAAAGTATGTCCAGTGAAATAAAATGTTAGATGTCCAATACAAGAAATGGGGAATCAACCCGAGCTAGAAGTCACATTTTCAAAAAATATTAATTTTTCAAAGTTGATAAACAATTTTCGAAACCATATTTTTAGATGTATCTTTACATGTACAGGGTGTCCCGAAAGTATGCCCCCCCCCCCTAGGCAGACATATTACAGTGTCCTCATAGTATGTGTCATATATCATTTTAAAGCTTATCCAAAGTTACATTGATTCGCCAAGTATCATGGTTTAACTCCCAAATGGGAAAAAGTTACAGTCATTTTAAAAGTTAGTGTTTTATCAAAATAAAGTTCAATTTTACACCACATTACGAGTCAATGAGTCCCCCATTGGACATGTTAACAGCCGCAATTATTTTCAAATATGACCTTAAAAGCCCTTCAAATAGGGGTGTGGAATTTTATAACCCTCTTAAAACCTGTTAAGGCACTTTAGAAGAGTTTCCTTTGAGTTTCTACCCTCACCGTTCTCTTTTTCCAACTCATTATCCATCCAACCCGAAAAGAATTGCTGCTGTTAAGATTGCCCAGGAGGACACATTGACTAGTGATTTGGTGTAAAATTGAATGAAATTTTGACCAAACACTAAATTTTGAAATGCCTGTAACTTTTTCCCATTTGGGAGTTAAACCATGATACTTGGCGAATCAATGTAACTTTGGATAAGCTTTAAAATGATATATGACACATACTATGACGACACTGGTATATGTCTGCCTAGGGGGGGGCCCATACTTTCGGGACACCCTGTAGATTTCAAATATGACACCACTTTGACTGAATTTTGAATATTTAATGACGTTAATCAAGATCATTTCTACTCGTATCTAGTCTATTGTGAAATCATATTGTCCACAGCTGTCATTTGTCCGCAATTGTATAGTTACACTTTGTCCACAATTGTGAAATCACATTTGTCCACAGTTGTCATTTTACACTTTGTCCACAATTGTGAAATCATAATTTAGTCCATGGTATGAAATCTCTAGGACGTCTAATAAAGGAGTTGGTAGCACACTATAGTGCAGCGATATTTGACCTTACATTAACATACCTACATATGTCCCCTAATAATTTTTATTATTACCATTCAATATACTTCCGGCTTTTAGGCTGAATTATGCCTGCCATTAACAGAGGTAAAAAAATCACCAAAAAATAAAATCCCAATTTTTCACAATTTGGAGTACACAATGCAACAGAAAATAATACAAAATGATTTTATATATATGATTTAGGTTTCTAAGCTATAAATTTGAGGTTATTTTTCTTATCAATACCCAAAAATATGTAATCAGTGTATCGACGTTTTGTTTTGTTTCTCAGGTATTGATAAGATAAATGCTACAAATGAATCATTTTTATATTGGAATGACAAATGTTTAAATTATACTAGTTTTTCACAATAGGGTCTCAATGCGTTTTGAGATATGGACTTTTATTCAGCGGTGAAAATTATCAATGAAGGCGGGCCTATTGCTGTTCCTTGACTAATTGGGACTACGGCTAAAATTCTATTTCCCGAAGTTAGATATAGCTCAGTTGCTTATAAAACAACTATCAAGACTTGATCGAATTCATGAATAATTGAGAAAAATCGTTATCATTATCTTCCTAAAATATGATTATACCCAGCGGTAAGGTCAAAGAACAAACAGCCATCAGAAAACTTGATGATAGCCACAAGTAAGGTCGAGGAAGAATGTCAAGGCGTTCAATTACATATGACTCTAATTGATTATTAGACATGCCCTTGGAATATATGAACATTCCAATACCTCTGTAACATTTAATTAGATATAAATCTTACCTATCTGTTATTGTAGTATGTTTTGTAAAACATGAGCAATAATTTGTTGTCAGACCCCTTGCGATTATATGGAAAAATCCTGGTAATAAAATGTTTTAAATGGTAAGAAAACTAATATGTTCCCAATCATAAATTACCTAAATATTCCACATAATTTTGTTGAATCGGCTTGGCTCATATTTGAAAAATCAAACAAAATCTGAAAAACACACTTGCATAATTACACTAATTAGACATCGACATCTACGGTAAAATTGAACAGTATATTTTTAAATTATGATAATTTATTTTTGTTCGTATGCTTAGAATAACGGTCGGTGTCTTATAAAATGTATAACAGTTCAAATCAAAATATTTACGTTTTTTGACCCCTTGTGATGAAAGACATTTTTCGACCCGAAAGCCGGAAGTTTTTTCAGCAAATGGTATTTTAAAAGAATCAAGACATGTACACTTTCATAAATATTGCTTCAAATGTTGCTGCACTATAGTGTGCTACGGATACTTCATTCATATTCGGAAGTCATACCATGGACTAATTGTCCACAGTTGTCATTTGACCACAATTCATCACACAATGAGTCTTCACCCCTTCCATAGACACAGGCTGGTATCGAAATATTTGTCCGCTGTGACGGAGCATGCTATTTTTCATAATAACACTAAGAATACTTCACGATTTATTTTTTAACTCATATGTTTCGTTATACCATA